GGGGGAAAGTCCTTCTCGAATTGCCTACCAGCCAGAAACAAATACGATTGCTGTAACTGTTGAACGATTAGAGGTTATTTTGTTTTTTTTTTTTCTTTACGTAGTGTATATGTGTTTCCTTTCAACATTCCAATGGAAAGATCGACGCAACCACTTCTACTTGATCATGGAGAGTCGGTGCTTAGTATATCATAATGGAAATGTTTAGCTAATACTTCATTTTCCTGCAGTTTGTGGACGCCATGGGAAAACATCATTTTGGCCAATGTGCATCAAAAAATGCAATGGAAACATCAAGTAGTCGGCTGAGTTCCATGAGGCGAGAGCCTACTCCGGAATGTTTGGCTGAAGAAATGGAAGTGAGCAATTCTGTCAAATTAAGAGCCAATTAATTATGGCTTGTTTTCCGTAGTGCATCCATTGAATCACCATAAAACAGTCATTAAAATTGGTTGGGAACCATGAATTTAGGTCTCAGATATTTCGTTTTGAAATTTTTATAAAATACACTAATTTGTAGCAAGCATATACTTTTTAATTCTGTTGTTCGCATATTGCTATAAATGCATCGAGGTTACAGGTCAGTTCAATTTTGTTGCTGGATTCCAATACATTTGAAATATTACATTCTCATGAGCTTGAAGGCAGTGAAATGGCAATGTCACTGGCTTCTTGTCAACTCGGAAATGATAGCCAACCGTACTTCGTTGTAGGCACTGCAGTTATCATGTCTGATGAAACGGAATCCAAAATGGTTGGTTACACAATCACCAGCTTATCCATCCTGGTTATCATCTGCCTAGACTCTAATTTCTGGTTATCCAAGTGAATTTAGCCAGTTCCTCAAATCAACTTGTGATTACAGGGCCGTATCATGATGTTTCAAGCGTCAGAGGGCCCAGAACGTATGCGTTTGGTGTATGAAAAAGAGATTAAGGGAGCCGCTTATTCGATTCAGTCTATGGATGGTGTGTAAAATCAGTCCTTGGAAACATTACATCTCATTTCTTATTCAGCATTTGAAATTGGAAATTCGAAGATTTGAAGATGAAAAAAGAAAGGACATTTTTTGCCATGTCTGACGTCCTGATTAATTGAAAAAGATGAAAAGGGTTTTGTAAGAAATGATCATGTTGAAGTTATTGTATACGAAAACCAAGACATTGCAGGGAAACTGGTAGTTGCAGTCAATAGTTGTGTTCGGTTATTTGAATGGACTGCGGACAAAGAACTACGGTTGGAATGTTCAGATTTTGATAATGTTACCGCATTATATTTAAAGACGAAGAACGACTTAATTTTGGTGGGCGATTTGATGCGGTCTCTTTCGCTTCTTTCCTATAAATCAGTGGAATCAACGTTTGAAAAAGTGGCTAGGTAAGGAGTTCATTTGATCGTTGCTATTTTCTTGATTTTTCTAGTCTTACTTTTATGCATCATATTTAGAATAAGCAAAGAGTTCTGGTTCTTTCATCTGTCTGACTCATATCATATTTTTAAAACGTAATATATGTAATAGTTTCTTTTCTGTCGACATGTGATTTTACTAGGTTTCTTAAATTTGAAGGTTTTGGAGTGGGATCGTAAATTATTTTATTCATGATTTTAAGAGATTTCATGACAAATTGGATGTCCGCTTGTGAGATAATTGATTCTGACAGCTTTTTGGGTGCCGAAAACTCGTATAACTTATTTACAGTAGTCAAGGACTCATTCACAGTGTTCAAAGAAGAAGGGACAAGATTACAAGTAATTATTGTTTTCATTCCTGATTCGGGTATATTGTATCCAAATGGAGATAATATTTGATGACAGTCAGATTTTCCTTTCGGAAATTTCGCACTCTAAGTGATTTTACAAAATATATTGGAAGGCATTCTTTTAGGAATTAGGGTTATTTTACCTGGGAGAAATGGTTAATGTATTCTGCCATGGATCTTTAACTGCCACACAAGTTGATGTGGCGCCGCTGTATCATTCCTCGATTTTGTATGGTACTTCAGATGGTGGTATAGGAGTTATCGTTCAAATGCCGCCAGTGCTTTACACGTAAGTTTATTCTGATTAGTTTAAAAAGCCTGGGAAAATTTATGACAGTCTTAATTTCCGAAATTCTACCTTTTGATTCTGTGATTGGGAGATAGAAGTGGATCTTGATTTCTGCATTTCAGATTCCTACACGACGTTCAGAAACGTTTGGCTGATTATACAGAAAATTGTATGCGAATTTCCCACACACAATATAGAACATTTGAAACAGAGAAACGAAGCGAGGTTCCAAATGGTTTCATCGATGGCGATCTAATCGAGAGCCTTTTGGATATGGGCAAAGATTCGGTGGGACAGATCGTTAACGGACTTAAAATGCCGTTATTGAACAGTAAGGATGCATTATTTTTCGTAATTTTTATTTCCGTTTGCAGATAAAGTCCATGTTTATTTGTTCATTCCACAATTTTCGTCAGCTTCGGGACTTTTTTTTCTAAACACAGGAGTTTTCGTATAGATATTTTAATTTTCCACGAATGCATCCTTCCAACGTTGTCTGAAAGAAAGTCTCGCTTGTATTATGACAATAATTTTTTCAAAAATAAAAATGCCCTGGTCATTATTTTTCTTTGAACTTTCAACTGGGACCTGACATAATTCTCTGTGATTCTTCTGCTTGCGGGAAGTGCAATTGGCTCAAATCTATCAAATTAAAAAGCATTTAGGTTAGAGTATTTCTGAAAAGTTGAAAGTATTTTAGCATGGCAATAAGTTTATGACGGCAATTCATACATATGCTGAAGCTGAGTATTTTTGAAAATAAGCACTAGTTCAGAATTGCTTTTTAAGAGGGTTAATTCACTCAAAAAGATAGAGAGGAAGAAAGAAACAGTGAATATGATACAATTAAACGTAGTGAGAAATACATGAGAAATACATTAACTGAATAAATGATTTCGATAACTACGACTCTGTAGTTGCTATAATTAAGTTGCTTTGAAGTAGGTTGAGTTATCTCAAGGTGTATTCCCGATCTACACTTGGTTTTTTTGCATTCAGTGATAACTCTGAGCTGCAAATTATGCTATCTTGTATTTTTGATCACTTTCTTTTCATTGCAAGCTATCCAAAAAAAACTAAAAATATAGGTCTAGGGACGGTGACGATAAATCTTCATAATGCTTGATTAGCAGGAAGTAATATCTCACCTGCTTTGGTCTTTTGAATTTCAGCATTCCCAATGGCATTAACCTTTTATGCGATTGAACTAAATAGTCTATATTTTAATTCAATGTTTTATAACTATCCATTCAATGTTTTTTAATCTTTCAAGTATTTATTTCATTCAAATAAATTGATATTTTATTCAGTCATTCGAGTAATCACATTACTTCCAGTACCTTCATCCGAAACTACGGAACTAGTGGATGCAACGGCAGAAGATGTATTAAAGCTTGTCGAAGATTTATCAAGGATACATTAGCAGAAAAGATATACACCAGTGTCGTAAGTGCTGTTCTGTTGAGCAAATCGTAAAGTGAAACTGTGTTTAATAGGTAACTGATAATCAGTTAGTTAATCTGTCTTACAAGTTTGATAGTTATTTGCTGATCTCCGCAAAGGTTTTTGCTTCATTAAAATGCTGCGAATTTATATTTATTATTCTCTCATTTGGACTCCCTCTTTGTCCCACCTCAAAAATAATAACTGAAGTTCAAACAAGCACAAGTATTGCCTTAATTCAGATATTTTTAAAATTTTGGCTTCACGTTGGAACCTTCAATTTCCAGTCAAACATTGTTTGAAGTTTCCGGCAAATTTGAAAGCATATTGACTCGAAATTTAGGTTTTCCTCAACTTTGTCAGTTACAGTCTTTTAATTTATGTGATTTAAGTGCAAAATGAAATGTTATAACATGTATTTTTCTCTATGTTGTCAATTTGTCAATTTTCTCGAAAATTATGATATTTATATGCCTATAAATATGTGCTCAACTGTATAAGCAATTCTTATATTGTGCGCAGTTCCCATATTTACAAGCAGTTCTCATGTTTTTCATATGTGCAGGTTACAAGCTGTGTATTTTTCCTATCATTATATACTTCTTGCCGTTTCCTGTTGTTGTGTACTAACTCCATTTTTAACTAGATGAATTGCGTCTCATTTTTTATTCCTTTTGCATTCAAATTGTACCACCTTTGTCTTGGATTGATGACAGCTTTACTGCATGCAACATTATACAGTTGTTTAATGTTTCTTTTTGAATCATAGGGAAGTTGAAAAAAAAACGGAAAAATCATTGTTGTCAACTTTTTTCACGTATTTTCCATTTAGATGTAATAATTGTCCTGCTGACTTAGCTTATGGTACCATGGGGTTCTGTGCATCTATCAGTTTCCATGATTGCTAATGAACAGAAACATCTGCTAAACCAGTTTTGCATTGAAGGCAACGGACATTTTGGTATTCATAATAAAAGGCCAGCAAACGTTTCGAGACTCATTTTCAGCAAAAGACTTCGCAACATCTGGTTCATTCTGCGTAGCTTCTGGTTAATTTCCGAACTACAAAGATCACGTCAACTTCGAACTCCTCCAACCCTAAGGAGGATGTTGTGGCTAGTGTCGAATTAATTGAACTACTGTTATTGAGGCATGCTTGAGAGACGTGCGATTTGTAGATTGCGGGCCGCAATTGTAGGAAATAGGCGTGGAATTGGATTAATTCGACATTGCCGTGTGGTGGTTCTGCCTGTCATCACAGTCTTGGGGTTAGTCTGGAAAATCCGCATTCGATATCATCGTACGCTCTGCATTCTGAACTTTCCAGTTGTGGCTTAGTGCATCGCAGCCTTGCATTGTTTTTTAAAGCTATTGTTGCGTGTTATATATGAATAAGTATACGCCGCGATATACAATTCTTCAATTTTCGGTGGTGATGTTAACGACGTAATCGTTCTGATATCCGTGATCCGTGAAATCAGTTACTTAGATCATTCTTTCTTTCATGCTTTTAGGCTCGATATCACTGTGCTAAAATTTCGAAAATGTCAAAAATGGGGACGATCAGTTCGGATACTGATCCGGACACAGTGACAATTTTGCATCGTCGTGGTCCAGCACAAAGAACATTACGAACAGCAGCAGTAAGTTTGTTCTTATATTAAAGTCAAGTTATGTATCGTAAGTGATTTCGTACTATGCTTCCTTGCTACTGTTTATTATTTTCTCATTGTTGATCTCATTACGACCACTGTATTGGGAAGATACTAGTGTTAGATGTTTTGAATTGACATAGACAGTACTCACTGTTGCAAATCTATGAAAACGTCTACAAATTACAGGAGTATTCCAAATAAATTATGCACATTAGACTCTTGCAAATTAGATACTAGTTCATAAAGTCAGATTCTGTTGGGATAAGTTTTCACGTTACATCCAAGTTCTCTTATGTTACAGGAGTTAAATGCAGCACAACGGCGTGGAATGGCTATTGAGACATCGAAGAAAATGATGGCTGGTGGTAATAGACAACATCATGCGACAAAAAATACTGCAAGGTTATAGTTTTTTTATTGGTGATAATTAAACTAAAAAAAAAAAAAAGAATCGCACAAAAACTAATCATATCATTGTAGGGAGATCACCTTGCGGAATAATTGGCATAAACATAAATTACCTGTTAGTGATAGCCAAGTTACTGCATTCGCATACGTTCCCAATTGTAATCTCGAAATCTTTATATCCTACGTCATCAATGTTAACTTTGTGTTCATTGAAGATTGGATGAAGAAACTGAGGAGTTACATCATGAGCGTGTTTCGCTGACACTTGGCAAGGTGATGCAACAGGCGCGACAGGCTAAAGAATGGACACAGAAAGATCTGGCTACTGTACTTTTTTTTGCTCTAAATCAGACTTGAAGGGACATTTTAAATTGTAGTTTTTATTTTTTATATATTGGCTTCGATCATTTCAGCACATCAATGAAAAGCCGCAAGTAGTGGCGGAGTATGAAAATGGTAAAGCTGTCCCTAATCAGCAGGTAATCATTAATTTGTCTCTCCATGGTCTTTTTTGTTTCGTCTTCCATTACTTTGAGTTCCTAATTTACTTTTTATATATTTTCATTAGAAAAAAGTCGATTCCACTTATTCTTTACAGATTCTAGCAAAAATGGAACGAGCGCTAGGTGTAAAGTTGCGTGGTAAAGATATGGGTCAGCCACTGGTTAACAAAAGCGCACCAGTCAAAAAGAAGTGAAGTGACTATTGGCGCCTTTTTATTGGAAAAACACGTGTTTCACATGAAATCATATTATACGGAGTCATTAATATGGAGTAATTTGTTTTTTCTACTCACCATTTCGATGACCTCTCAGCCGTACCAGCTACACCAATGGATAAAACTTGATATCCTTATATTCCTTTTTCATGATTTCATGAAATTTAATCCAATTATATGATCGTTCTTAAGTGCTCAATTCATTTGAATTGGTATGGATTTTTTTTTTTTTTTGACACCGGCATTATAAAAATGAAGGACTTAGCGGCTCGTGAAAAAGGTCCTTTGCAATATTCTTAGCAAAACTCCTCGTCCAGTAAAACAGTTCTTGTAACTTAAATGGTAATTTAGGTAAGGGAGAGCTAGTTTGAAAAGAAATTTTTCAAGTTTGGAATAATCTTTTAACATATATAAGTAGCAATAAACCTTGCAGTCTAGCTCTCTCCTTTGCAGGCTTCACTGATTTTTTGAGCCTATGCAGGCTTCACTGATTTTTGCAGTTTTTTAATGTGAAACAGAGTTGAAGAGGGAAATTGCGTCCGCGATTAATTCATTATTGATGTGCACTGTCAGCTTACATTGCGCGAGATTAACTGGCAACACAGGATTATTTTTTGCTGGTCATTTCGGTAGTATTTTATCTCTCTACTAATGTTTAGACACGAAAATAAGGTAGTAACTATCTTACTTCACTGGTCACGAACAAATTTCTCCCGGAAGTTCTCAATCGTACTTACGCATTTCATAAATTCATCCGGAACATCCTTCACTTGTAACATCTGCTCAATGTGTACTACTAGAATGTTAATGCATGAATTTTAAGCTTTGAAAAGGTCGCAGTACTGAAAGTGGACTTCAAACTTTTTTTACGGGAAATATTGTGGATTTTGTGTTCAAGGCTATCGTTTCTTGATAATTTATAAGGAAATGCATTTTATCTGCTTGATTATGTACATAAAATTATTGACTACAAATCCCATCAACTATCATCATTGTATAGCTACGGCTTTATCGTTTTTAAATTTTTGTTCTTGACTTCGTCATTACTTTCTGCTTACCTGCATTCTTTTCTCTTATAATAATACTAGAGAATAATACTAGAGAAAAATATTGTAAGCAATTTTAATATATTCAAGGTTGAAGTTAACAGTTGTCTCGGATTGAATAACTGATGTTTTGGATGGAGGTAAAGTTCTTGAGAATTTCTGAGTTGCATACTTCTGAGCCATTTGAAAACTGGTAAACTTGATAAATGTAATCAGAAACCCAGATTATAAACTACTTATTTCTAGTGGGAGATTAACAAACTAATGAAGGATCGAACGTTGTTAACTTGAATGCTCCCGTAGTTTGACAATGGATAAGCTTGAAGTAATGGTATATAAACGGTTTCAGTGAGGCATAAGAGGGAATGTGGCGAAATTACAATATCCCATTTCTTAAAAACAATGAATTAAGTGTACTTTGTTGATAGGTATAACTGAGATTACAATGTCGATACACTGAGTGTTGATCTTGAAGCTGTCTTTAAACACATAAATTGGCAGGATGGAAATGGTAAAATATGATGAGATTTGATAGGAATTCGTGAGCTGTGAGCAGTAGTTAAAAACTTCTTGCTATTACTTTTATATCAATTTCAGTATATAAAAGGGGATTTGCAGGAAAAGAATGATTGTGAAGGAATCCATGCGGTTCAACACTATATGACGATGGCTGTTTTTTTTTGATTACTAGAAATCACACGCAGTGGTATCAATAGTTTTAGTCTAATTACAATCGTAGGCAGTAACAGATCGATTATTAATTTGAAGGTAAATGTGAAGGGATAGGAAAACCTTCTGTAATACAGAATCAAATTTAAATCTGAAATCCATTGAGTGGGATGGAGGTGCTCGTTTGAGACCCAAGGTTATACTATTGTCATGAAGTTTGGAATAAAAAAGCAAGATTATCCATAAGATTTCATTCTTATCATTGTTGCTTTAGATCTTGTCACTGTATGTTTTGCATCGTAACACTCATTATGACGCTGATGCGAATCATAGATATTCAGCAGAACAACATTGTGAGCAGGGGGTACGTATATGTTTTGTTGATAATTGGTCCAAAGCAAATTGTATAAGTATAGCAAGATAGCGGTGCTGACAGTATTGAAGAATCGACCCTTAGAATGCTGGAATATTGAAAGCTCAGATATATATTCTCAGTCGATGTTTTGGGATGCAGTATCAGTGCATTTCTCATAATGACTGCTGAATTGAGTTGAGTTGCTTGACCATTCTGTAAAAATAGGGAATATCTCAGAGTCTCTCATGTAATGAACAAACTTCCATGTTTTATTTACCTTGTTCCAATAAAATTGATAAAAAAAAAACTGATGCCCGAGGAATTCTTCTACAAAAGCAAAAATTTCAAGCCACGCTAGTATTTAAATGTACGCGTTCCACAATGGTTTGAGTACTTATTGTTTCTTACTGGAGGAATTACTGCCATTATGTCGCTACGTTTCATGCGTTAGCAAAATCCTTTTTTGACAGATTCATGTCCAGTATTCGACCAGAGTTCATACAAAGCACAGAATGCTTTCCATGTCTGGTAAAATATAACTTTACATAGAACTGTAATTAAATTCGTGGATTTCGAGGGATGGACTATTTCCGTATTAACCGTGAAAATATTGCAATTTCCAAACTTGTTGCATTCCTTCAATCTCCAGATGACCTCTTAATGGAAGCAAAGGAGCGCAGTCGTTATGAGTAACATCCATCGGCTTCCCGATGTTTTTCATTGAACGGTAGTAATATGATAAATAAAGACAATCATGACAACCAATTGGTTGTCAGTCCCTTCTTCAATTTGAACATTACTTTTTTGTTTTCACCATAGAAAGAGGTAAGTACTAACACGTCGGCGGTAACATATGTGTATGTACCAAATCTGTGGCAAAGAATAATCAGAAATCATTACAAAGAAGTACGTGACAAATCAATATCGTGACAAAAACAAAGACTTCCGATTAGCAAGCATTATTTACAGAAATCAATAGCATATGAACCATTGATTTTCTTGTTGGGAAAAAATTTGGATGGAAAAAAATTCTTATGAGGGCTAGATTTCGACCTCATCGGAAAGACAAACAGGCAGTATTCCCTGTTCTGTTCTTGAAGGATCAATGATTTATTGTATGCAGTTTGACATTTGCCAATTCATTCACAGAAGAGACACTGAAAAGAACAATAATAATTTAATTTTGCAAAACAAGAATATGGAACAAAAAAGCCAAGCTAGTAGTAAAGGCCTATAAATGTGCTTATAAAAACATTATACAAATGATCCAAGTGCACAAACGTACACGTACACGTATACATGCATACGTTTATGGATTCGCATGTGTCTTAAATTATTTGCTTGGCAAAAGCAAAAATGGTAAATATTTCTAACATCAATGTTTTTGTTTGAAAGTACTGTTATAGCTCAATGCTAATTGGTAACATTTGTTTCGGTAAAAGCTGTAAAACGGAAATAGCTGGGTAGTTTGGGTTTCAACTGCAGCAACATCATAGATGAAAGTATTTGAAATTGTTCCCTTAATGCTCTCATAAATCAGTTTCAAGAAAAGTATTCTCTTTACTCACATCACCGTCCGGCTGTTTCTTTGCTTGTTCATTTATTATTTCTGACTAAGATTGCCCCATCTTCGCTCTCACCAGCCTTCTTTGATTGCGATCGATGATTAGCGTGTTCTTCTGTTCAACTGAATCCTCTACATTTAACCTTTCATTAGATTCATAAATCAGCATTTAGTTTCTCATCTTTTGCTTCTTATTTTTTGGTTCTTGGTATAGCTCGGGAAATATCCTGTCGTTATTGTTTCCGGATGATTAAATTGCTGGATTATCAAATAAGCTTACACTCATTTTCACTGACATGCCACTTCTTGGTACGGTATTACTTATCACTAACTTCTTATTGCAATTTTTATTGCTTCGTTTTCTCTTTCCCTGTTTTTTCGATCAACTTCTTGATTTTAGCTTATTAGTTTTTTCTTCGTCCTTTCAGTTCCGGAAATCCCACTCGACACTTGGTAAAAGCGTTCATTTATGCTATACATTTCCTTATGACTTTCGTCTTGCTTTTAATGCCACGCACGCTGGCATAAACACGCAAGTTATGGATTTTATTCCAAAAGTACGTTTCGGAAATGATTTACCTAAAACCAAAATAATGGTTTCATCCCGACTCATGATCCTGCTCGATCGGGATGTCCAGTAGATTTTGACAAAAACTCAACTTCAAAAAGGTTAATGCCAAAAAAAGCAGGATTTGTTTGGAAAATTCCGCTCCCTATCAGAAAAAGTGCTTAACGAGCTTAGAGCAAATAAAAAAGTCCAAATGTGGTGTGTCTTCAATACCTCAGTCATAACATCTAAATTTGGCAAGTCCTTCCATTTGCTTCGTCGTTCATGCACGTCTCGTAGATTCCTAATATTAACTATTTCATCAACTTTCACTTTTTCTGTGGTGAAGTTGGACCAGATTGGCAAATGAAATCACTGAGATGAATACTTTTGTTGAACGGACATTCAGAAACAAAAATAAAAAGTAAAAAAAAAGCTACCAGTTGTTGAAAATGAAAAACTTGATAACGGAAAAAAAATTACAAAAAAAATTAGAGGATGAAAATAAGAGTAACAAAGTGCAAATAATTTGAAATGATGGATAACACCTATATCAAAAAAGCAATCTTAATGAATAAAAGCACAAACCTATTATTATATTACGTAATATATGAGGCTGTTGGTGGAACTTACAACCGAAAGAACATTCCATGCGTTCTTTTCTCAGTTGTCTAAGGATTCAAATTTCCTTTCAGTCTATAAAAACCTGTGCCTAGAAATGGAACAATTCTGAATTAGACAGTAGCAATGCTCGGGAGAGCCATCTCACCAAATCCTATTAGAAAGAAATTCAACGAAAGATTACCTCAATTTTCGTATTCCGTTAAAATATTATCCAAGAAAGCTAATAGATTTCCTTGAGAGATTTTGAAAATTGGTGGAAAAATTAAGGAGGAAAGCTATGATTAGTTATGTTTCTTGCTGTAAATTTAAGTGTTTGTTTGCTTCTCATGTTTCCATAAATTCAAGGATGCAACATGGAATGGATATTGTTTATACTATTGCCTAATATTGCTAATGCCTTGTTTCTACTATCCCGAGTACAGAGTGTCGCAGTGCAGGGAATACTGCTGTGTGAAGGCAGACCGTTATCGGATCATCAAATAATTCTCATCGATCACGATAGTTCGTCGCTTCAGTAATTGCCTTGTGCAAAATCATTTCAAAATCCCCATAAGCACACTTTCATAAGCTACTTTTCACGACTGTCTGACTAATTTATCAATGCAGAGAAATATTACAAAAATTCATACTATCTTGTAGGATATTTACAATGAGAGAAATCATAAGTCAATTTTTAAGTTTTTCAAAATTTTAAAAGTCGGAAAGTTTCAAAATTTTTGAAAAGCTATAAGATTTATCGAGATAAATTTAGGACTTCAACGATATTTTCGAGCGAAATATATTTTAAGATTATAAGAGTAAATTGCATTACTTTTTATGAACCATTGCTGATTTATACCTCACTTTTTAATTTTTTCAAAAGCATTCATTTAGAACTAGACCCCGATGATATAATGGCAACGAATGTGACAGACCAAAGCGGACACTTTTATGTGCATGGTAACGAGACTGAATGGAGTACAATCGATCCTGTACTTGTCGTTCGTCATAAGTGCAACGACGGTGGAATCGTAAAGTTTTAATCCCTTTCATTTCACTAAAATAGCGGTTCTTCAATCAAGTGCAAAAATCTTTCGGATATCTTTTTATACAAGTTCCTTGAATAATTGAACGCCACTTTCCCAAGTTCTTATGCAAAACAGCTATATAAATTTTCAACAACATGTAAATTATTATATTTCCTTGTACTAGCATCGTTTTTCTTTAGCCATGCGACCGTGAATGGCGACTGGGAATTCCAGTGAAATATATAAGTAATGAAGGAGATGTACAGGATATCATGGACATTGGTATTTTGAATGCTGAAGTGGTGTTCTATGGCGAAAAGCGTGAGTGCCTATTCTAACTTGCTCTGATAATATTCGAACAATAATAACATACCGATAATTTATGAATTATTCTATTCGTTAAAAGGAGAATAATTGCTGCTATGTCAAAATCATATTAACTGTAAAATCTAAGTTGCTAAATCCTTTGGTCCATTACTGTAGTGGAATGTAACATTTGACATTGTCTCATATTCTAGAGGCCTTTGATAAGTTGTCAAATATGAATATTTGTACCATTATATGTTGATAAAGTGTTTGTTTTGTGCTGTATCACAGATTCACTGAAAATCAATGTTATAACTAGCAACAGACATGAAATGAAATGAGTTAGTAATATTTGTAGCACCGGCCTAAAGTTGTTTGTCAAGGAATCTACTCGGACAATATTATTCGTACCTTCATTCATCAAGAGTTATACAGTCTGAGCACACAGACTCATAGTAAACATTTATCATCAGTTAATTAAGCTTTTCCATCCTCCCCACTGATTACTTGATTATTATAACCAACGAAAGGGAACTTATTGCATTCCAGATATCTCATTTTCTCATTTACTGATGACAGACACACTCCGACGAACAGAGGGCTCAGGCTATCAAGAGCAAAGACAAAAACGCGCACAAGCATACTACATAGTGACAGACTGACTGCGTAACATCGACAGCTGTCCGCAGTGAATGGCTCCTAATCATTATGAAATCATTATCAGCAATCAGCAACACTTTTCATTTTCGTATTCAATCCAATCAACCCAGTGCATTCCTTCCTTTGATGCATGAATAGACAAACCACTTGTGCCCTCGGATTATCCCAGTGCCCAGCCACTGAAATTTTTAGCTTGATGATGTGATGAGGTACCAAATACTAGAAACTAGGCCTTATCAAGTATTAAAGTTTGATAGTTATCATACCTCCAGTATCTCACCCTTATTACTTATCATTATTCCGTCCTATTTCTTGCCTTTCTTGTAATTGCATGATTTTCCGGAAGACCGGGTGGAAATACTTTTGAGGTTTCTGCTTTTTAAATTTCGTGGATTTTTTCTACAAAATTCCATAATCACATTTGAAGGAAGAAATAAAAGTATTCATTTGTCACGAAATAAATACTCCTACACATCATTGAAGATTTTTGCTGTTCCAGTCGAAATTCCTGTTGGCATTACAATTTAACCTTTTCAAGTTGGTACTTCTCATTCCCTCCTTAACAACGAATCATTGTGCATCAAATGTTTGTTAATGACAGCTGTTGTTGTTCAGCATTGTTTCTCAGTTTTTGAACGATGATTTTTAAAGAAATGATCAAAATTAAGCCAAAATTTTTGATCTTCGGTTTAATTATCCGAAACGAATAGAGTTAAATTTCGGAATAAATAATTGCTGCTCCAGCTGCTGCAAGGATTTCAGAACAAAATCGTCGTCTAAATGTTTCAACGCTTTTATCATTGATAGAAGTTGCGTTTACTTAAATATCTTTTTACAGTGTGTATAAAATAAGTTACTGGTAATATAATAAAAGCACTGTATCAAAACAGGAAATATTGCGAGTGCTTTATCACTTCTCAGGTAACAAAATAACAATTAAAACCAAGACTTTTCAACACTACATCCGTCCACTAACGAAGCTATGAGAGTTTGCTTAAATTCGAGATTGGAATTTTTGGGAACATGATTCAGATTTTGTAGAAAAAATGTGGTTAGTATTTTCTCTGACCGCCTATATCGTTATTACAATGGTGCATACAGCTAATGCATTCCTCGAACAAAGCGTACGCGTCAGAGGACGACTTCTGTGCGGTTCCCAGCCAGCTTCCAGTATACTGGTGAAATTGGTCGATAAAGATAATGGTAATGGGGCTTTTGTTTTTTTTTAGATAATCACACTTCGTTATCATCCCAGAATTTCCTATGAATTTTAATGTTTTCAATGTAAGATTAACGGATTATCACAAGTACCTTTGACTTTTCTTTCGGTTCCATTATCAGGATTATAGATATCGCTACCCCAGATCATTGTAATGAACAGTAGGGTCACCTATTTGCAGGTCCGAACCCGGATGATTTAATGGATTCCTGTTATACGGATAGTGGTGGTAAATTTGATTTACAGGGCAATTCATATGAATTATCGACGATTGACCCTGAAGTGCGGATTTATCACGACTGCAATGATTACGGAAGGGTATGTGTCATTCACTTTCTTTTAAAATAGATTTCAAAAAACGACAAATGAGTAAATCATGAGATCGAAACGTTTAAACTTGTTTGATTCAAACTACAGGCATTAATTTATTAATTACTGTGACAATTACTGTGAATTCTTTCATACGGCGATCCACAGTTGAGCTACTCGGAACTGACCAAAGACTTCAGGATAAGTGATGATAGTGTACATGTGCGTATTTGTGTTTGTACAGAATTTGAAAAAAGAACGGTCTTTTACGAAGTGGTTGAACAACAGAAAGGGAAAATTGTAAGATTATACATATCGTGCAGAAAATGAACCCTTTGTAGAAAACCGTTTGTGAGTTGAATATAACATGATGTGAAGAATGGAATAACTGTTGAACACAGAAACCTTCATAAGTGATGGGAAAAAGATAAAATTAACATGAATGGAATGCGAATCTTTATGGAGTAATACTGAAGACAAGAAAGTATGAACTGATTAGACGAGTTGTGATTGCTTAGTTGTTCCGAATATCATTACTCAAAGTAATGTCATCAATGGATATTGCAAAGGTATTAACTGGTACCATTGCTAGTGCTACTCCACTGTAACTCCTACAGAAAACCCATGGTTTGGGATGGCCTTATGGCCAAGTACTAAAACACAGAATGATCTGATTAACATGTCTTTTCAAGACTTTCCTCCTATCGTAAACCAAATACAGATATTTCGAAGGATTTAATTTGATAGCTAGAATATCTTGAAATCAACACAAAACTCCCTGATATAAATGAGTAAACACCT